GAATTCTGATGATATCCTTAATGAACTACAAGATCGGCAAAAACGCGCAAACAACATTATGATCTTTAACATGACAGCAAATAATGACGATGTTACTGATACTCAAACCTTAATTGCTCAAACTCTGGACGCCACAGTTAATATTATTAGCACAACTAGGATTGGTAGGGGCAATAAGAACAACAATAGGCCTCTAAAAGTTGTGCTTTCCTCTTCACTGGAAGCTCAGTCTATTCTACATAACCGACAAAAGTTTAAAGGCAAGGATATATTTATTGAAGCCGACCTTACTCATCAACAACGTGCTGTTGAAAAAAAGGCCCACGACGAGTTGAGAGAGCGCACATCAAACGGCGAAAATAATCTCACAATTAAATATATCAGAGGTGCTCCTACAGTGATCAAGAAAAAAAACTAGATACTTGCAATTTTCTTTGTTTATACCAGAATGTGCGGGGACTGAATAGTAAAACTTTCAATTTTTATAGTTCGGTTGCAGCTAGCAGTATGGACATAATAGCAATCACAGAAACATGGTTAAAACCAGAAGTAGCAAACTCAGAACTGTTTACTGAATTCTACAATGTTTACCGCTCTGACCGCAATTTCAATCAACTTAATGTTTCTAAGGGAGGAGGTGTTTTGGTGGGCGTATCTAATGAATATATGTCTCATTCTGTTCCTTTGCCTGACCTGGAAGGCCTTGTCCCTGAAATTGACATTGTATGTTGTAAAATCATTGTAAGCCACTATACTCTTTATGTTTTAGTCTTATATATTCCACCATCTGTACACATTAATCATCTCGAATTATTCTTTGACAATTTATCCCTACTCAATATCATACATGAAAGGAATGTACTCATAATGGGTGACTTTAATATACCAGCGTATGTCAGTAATGACCAAAGAGACTCCAAGAATTTATTACTTAAAAATTTTCTAACTTTATCTAACCTCAAGCAGTACAATTATATATTAAACATAAATAATCGTTTATTAGACCTCGTTATATCAAACTTTAAGTGCACTATTGAGAAAAATGACGTACCTCTTGTTACTGAAGACCCAAATCACCCCTGTATTCTTACTAAATTCAACACAACAGTCGATCAGGTTCATAACTTTCAATTAAACCCCAATCCTCCCAAGGAATTTAATTTCAGAAAAGCTAATTTTCAAATCATGTATGAGCTAATACTCCATGCAGACTGGTCAGAAGTATATACTTCCGCAACTGTCGACAAAGCTTGTTCTACCCTTTATAAAATATTGGAAAATATTTCTGAAAGCTGTGTTCCTCTCAAAATCAAGCGTACTGGTAGGTTTCCATCATTTTACCCAAAAAACCTTATAGATAATATCCGTAAAAAGGAAAAGGCTCGCAAGAACTATTCAAAATTTGGAAATAACATTTACAAAGAGCAATTTAACTCCTTGAGAAGGCTAGTAAAGACACATATAGATCAAGCTTTTAAAGACCACATAAAAACTAGTGAAGAAGCTATAAAAACCGATCCCACGAACTTCTGGTCATTTGTTCAAAGTAAAAAAGGACAGTCTAGAATACCGGGTCTAATGAAATCTAACGGTCAGGAGTTTTCTAATGGTCAGGACATAGTAAATGCTTTTGCTATTTTTTTTCAATGCGTATATGTTGCCTCTACTCCTGATTTAAATTACACTGTTTATGAGAACAACACTCCATTATCAACTTTTCAGAAATTGATACGTCAGATATCATTGATGCAAGTAAGAAGTTGAAAAATAAGCTTACCTCTGGCCCAGATCAAATTCCTAGCTTCCTTGTAAAAGACTGCATCGGTATACTAGCGGACCCTCTACTCTACTTGTTTAATTTAGTTATAAAAACTAGTACCTTCCCTGCTGTCTGGAAAACAGCGAAAATCACCCCGATTTTTAAATCTGGTGACTCATCTTGCATAAACAATTATCGCCCAATCTCAATTTTATGCAATTTTTCTAAAATTTTTGAAATAGTAATGTACAACAAAATATATCCGCCTATAAGGAACAAACTTTCAGTCCATCAGCATGGATTCATAGACGGTAGATCGTGTATCTCTAATCTGGCATTATTGTCTCAAAAAATAAGCACGTCTTTGGATAGTCGTGGGCGTGGGCACGGACTTCCAAAAAGCATTTGATCGTATTGACCACTACTGTTTGTTATCTAAGCTTAAATCTATTGGAATGTCTGATCGTCTTGTTAGCCTGTTGAGATCATACCTGTTGGATAGGACTCAATTTATAGATCATGAGGGATTTAGATCACCAGCGTTTAGCTCAAGTTCAGGTGTGCCACAAGGTTCGAACCTAGCACCACTGCTGTTTAATATATTTATCAATGACCTTCTTGATTCACTTTCTTGTTTTAAGTTGGCTTATGCTGATGATCTGAAGATCGGCGTGTCTGTGGTCTCAATGAATGATTGTCACATTTTACAACATAATTTAAATACTTTGAATGCTTGGTGTGACAGAAACAAATTGTACCTTAACGTTTCTAAATGTAATATAGACAGTTTTCATCGGATTAAGGAGCCTGTAATGTTTGACTACACCATTGGGGGACTCTGCACTTGATAGGCTTGATGAGATTAAAGATCTTGGTATCATATTTGATTACCAGCTTACATTTAATTCACATATTCATAATGTCTCAACTAGATCATCCAAGGTGCTTGGCTTTATTATTAGAAATAGTAAATATTTTACTAATCCAAGTACGCTTAGGCTTCTATACTATACCTTTGTTCGGTCAAAACTTGATTACGGCTCCATACTATGGAACCCAATATATAATTTTTACGCCAATGCAGCTGAGTCTATTCAGAGGCGTTTTCTTAAGTGCCACCATTTCAAAAGACATGGTTTCTATCCCGATAGAGGTTTTGACCATACTGTGTTACATTTGGAGTTTGATGAAGTGTCTTTGGCTCAGAGACGAAGGCTCCAAGCTGTCAAGTTTCTGTATAACCTCTTGCATGGTAAAATAGACTGTCCAAATCTTGTTGAGAGCATTTATTACGGGGTCCCCAGGCTGGTGGGTAGGTATAATGAGACATTTTATTTGCACACTGCCAGAACCAACATGTTATACAGAAGTCCTTTATATTTTATGTGCAGAGTTTTTAATGAGGTTTCTGAAGACTGTGACATGAATGTCGATTCTATACAATCAATAATTCAGGCTGTACTGAATGTTTAGATTTTTGCTTGACTTGCTTACCTTCTCTCTTTTTTTTTTTTTTTTTTTTTTTTTTGTTACAATGGGCTCTTTCACTAAAATTTAAATACGTAATTTAAGTATAAAATCCCAAAGGAGGGACTATTTTAGGCATATATACCAAAAAAAAATGTTCTACAAGGTTAAATAAGTTTTTTACAGGCATTTGAAAATTGCCAAATTCAAACTGATTTAAAACGCGCCGATTCGCTGACGTCACATAAATATTTTCCATTTCGCTCATGTGTTGCAAGAAACTGACCGGCTCGGCTGCGTTGCGCTCTGTAAAAGTACAGCAAGTATACGTAAAGGTTCGAATGCGCTGTTGTCGGTTGTGACTGAATGTAGTGCAGCGTAAAAAAATAAAATAAAACGAAACATAAAAAATTGTATTAAATTGTATTTAAGCATAATTTCAAAAAAAATGTTATAAAATCTTGAATCCATAATTAATTAATTGAACTACTTTTTATGATATTTTTCCAACATTTCAGAATTAAATCTATTACAAATTTTCAATGTTGACAATTAGTGGCAACACGGTCAAATTGAGAGCTGCGACGTCATAGAAATAAATTCTGGGTTTTTATTTGGAGGTATTTATTATTTTTCTGTTTTCTCAAGAAAGACTATGAATTTTTCAAAAGTAAAAATACAGAAAATTCTGTTTTTAGTTGCTTTATCCAAATATGCCAATTTCAAAAATTAGTGAAAGAGCCCATTGTTACACTATACTTTGATTTTGTTTGCTGTTATCCTGCCTTAATTATAGTTTACTCGCATCTACTTGAACACCATTTTTGTGTCTACCTGCTCTATTTTTTGTTTTTTTTATTTTGTTTTTCTACTTTATAGATTTGTTTGTTTGTTATTTTTATTTAATTTTTTTTTGTACTTTTTCCTGTAATTGGGATTATTCCTGTTGGAAATAAAGACTTATTTATTTATTTATTTATTTGTTAGAACTAATGTTGCATTACATAACCCATTAAGCGAGACTTCGAATATATTTAACAAGCTTCCTACTGATCTAAAACATGAAAAATCTATTGATACTTTTATTGGAAAATTGAAGAAATACTTTCAATAGTCAAAACAATTTGCATTTGCATATTTAGCCCCCGGTAAAAAAAAGGATGATGGATGAATGCAACACTGTGATGGCTACGGGCCAAATAGATATTTTTATTATAAGTATAAAAGAATTTAAGGCAGTATTGCATTAACATTGTGTGATAGTAAAATTGTGATCCTATCTGTCCATTTTGGTTTTGATGGTTGTTTAATGTCTGTTTTATAGTTTATATTTTGTGTTAGTTTCTAAGTTTTAAACTGTACTTCTATTATATTTTACTCTACCATACTTTACATGTAATTATGTAATTTTATCTTTAAATATATAAATAAATAGATAAAGATAATGTTTTTGATGGTTTTTATCATTATGAAGACCAAAAATTTAAAAGAAACCTGAGATGAAACAAGGAAAGACAACAAATATGCATTTGGTGGATTTTTTTACGTTCGGAATACCTCCAGCCGCATTCTCAGCAATGCTTGAGAAAAACATATTTTTTTGTATAAAAAAATGTATTTTGGGACTTGATACCTGTACTTATACTGTTTTAAGTTCAGAAATAAAGAAATTATTCCTCAAAAAAAAAAACCTTGAAATGGTCTCGTCTCTGGTTAAACAAATGCCTGGACAAATTCTACCTCGATATAAAAAAGTATAATGATAAGTTCTTACCCATGCATTTAGCTAAATGCCTAGCAAATCTTAAAGCAGCCACTTGTTGCGCGCAGTTGGGACATACACATTTTTGGGGACTACTTTTCACCGGGCTCAGTGGCAACTCCTCACTTTGCTCGGCATCAGCTTCCTCTTCGTTTTCCTTAACTTCCAAACAATACGCCTTTGTCTTGAACTTTCTGTGCAAATCAAATATGATGCCCAACGTTAGCTGGTCAATAATTTCGTCCAGAAATGTTTCTATGCACTTTTGTAATACTTGTTTGTCGATCATCATCTTTTTAAAGTCTTCTTGCATTTGATTCAAAAAATTCGGTTGGTCATTGTCTCGCATTAGTTCAGATACGTCCAAACTCTTTGGAGAAGCTTTTTGGGGTTCAGACTTTTTGGCCATTTTTGAGGCCGTTTGTTACTTTTGAATCTAGAGTTTTTCTGAAAGTTCAGTTTTTCATGATTTTTCACTGTTACTTGTTATTGAATATAAAATGCATTTTAGAAAATCTGGAAAATGTTGGGAAACATGGAAAATAGAAAAATTGTAAACAAAAACAACAAACTCGAACAAACAAACAAGAAGAAATTACAATGTCAATGTCAAATGTCAAAGTCAAAATATTGATGAATTTCGGGTTGAGCTGCGTTCGATAACCTGGAGTAAAATATAAATAACTTTATTTTGCATATTTTGCATCCGTTTTACCGTGCGTTCGGTATTTTCATCTGAGTTCTGAGTTCTCCGTGCTTCAATTTACCGTTCGTTTATTTAAAAAGTGTACTCGGTGCAGGCTCATTCGCATTCGTTTATTAAAATTTTTGCACTCTGATACAGCGTTCAACTGCTCTGTTCGCTCGCTGGTCACCTGATTACGGCTTCGCGCAGTACGTTCTGCTCTTGGAGCAAAATACCGAACGCAAGGTTTAAAAGTCTAATTTGAAAACGTCAAATTTAAAAATGTCATAAGTCATAATTCAAGTTTTAAAATTTCAAATCAAACGGCATCGCAGGCGGTGTCACAATTTTGTAAACAAACAAGTCAAACAACATTTTGAAGAAAATAAATTCTCTAATAATATTATGAGCAAGCCATAATTTCTAAAAATTGACTTAACAATGAATTCACCCTTAGCCAAACGGGTCAAAATGACTTCTAGTAAGTAAAAAGCACAAGTAAGTAGAAAATTTACCTATTATGTATCTCATATTTTACAGGATCAACATTTACATATGAGGACCATCGCGACAAAATATGTGAAATGATCCGTTGTAGAAAACTGGCTTTAAAACATATCGAAACGTATTGTAAGGCGAAAAAAATTGATCTTGAACGAATTATGAGCACTGCAGTGAGACCTGAGAGGAGTATCGACTATGAAATACCTGAGATAGATGAAAGTATCGTTTCTGAACCTGAGAGTTTTACCAAAGAAATTGTGAGTATAAATAAATATAAGGCCAACCATTTAAAATTGTTAAATACTAGCTTGAGAAAGCTATATCGCTGTGCCTACTTATTATAGTAGTTTTTACAGGGGGTTTGTAAAGGTTATGCTGCCACTTCTTGAGTGCAGTGTTGCCAACTATATGAATGGCCATTTTACCAAATTATAAAACTTGGAATACCAGAATATTACTAGATTTCTCTCAATCCTGCCAATACCAGAATATTACTAGGTCTTTGTTGCTAAACAAAAATTGTGCTAAAATTTTTAGATTTCAATTATTTATTTTAAGTTTTTTTTTTTTTGTTTTTTTCGTTAGGTTTAAAATAAAAATGCAATAATAACAATATCTAGTATGGAAAAATAAAACTTATTCAGATAAAATAACACTGCATACCTAATAAAGTCTGTTTTTTATTTAAAGATAATTCCCCAAGTCAAAAATTCAGTAACTATGTTGGCAACACAAGCCCTTTCTACATAAAAAATTTGAAAGCATTGACAATTTTACATTGTATTGCCAACATAATGTCATTTTGACTTTTATCTTTTAAAAAAAAAACAGATTTTATATACACCACAGGATACATTATTGTAAAAAAAAATCCATTCTGTATAACATAACATTACAGAATTGGTAAACATACTTAGGCCCGGTTTGTTCATCTTCAGATAAGCTCCTTGGTAACTATCTGCAAGATAAGTGCACCGTTCTATAATTCTATTGGTCGGCGGATAACTGGCCAACCAATGGGTTAACAAATTTCGTTTTTATATGGGTCAGATGGCATACCTGACAGTTATCAGTAGGTGAATAAACCGGCCATGAAATGTCAAATTACCAGAAATATTACTAGATATATTTTGAAAATCTTCATTACTAAAACTGGGGTGGATATTACCAGATCTGGTAATTATTTTACCAAGTTGGCAACACTGCTTGAGTGAGGGCCTTGCTGGACACCATTCACCCAAAAAAACTTTACCAGGCCGCTGAGTTAAGGGTATTTGGTTTGGTATTCATTATAGTTCACTGCTGATTTGTTTTCTAACTCTTTTCAATTATTGTAATTTTTTGTTTATATTGAGAGAGACTTTTAGTTCAAATAGATAGATAGATAGATTAGTCCAAGCAATAAAGGAAGTTTACCTCAACATAATTAGAAGTTAACATTTTTTGGGGGGGATCGGTTCATTTTCATGTGCTTAATAACATATTAAGTTTGCGACCTTGTACTTCCATAGGGTTTTCAGTTAGGGGTGGTTTTTAGGGTTAATTTGCAGTTTATGGAGAACACTGCTCAAAAGGATGGTCCAATAGCAAAAAGTTTCAAATTAATGTTGTAGCTGAAGCTTTTTGCTATAAAAAACTCAGCGACAGCACCCCTCTATCTTCTATAGTTTTTTTTCTGCAGCGTCTTGAATAGCAGCATGTTTTTGTTCAGGGTCACTGAATCAACGTTTTGCCATTTTGCGCGCATTTGTTGCAGCAGCGGCCGAATGCATAATCCGATTTCAATTTTTCAAATACCACATTATTTCTAATGAAATGCACTCTCCAATGCTTTTTTGTTCGAATTTTTTGCTTGAAAATTAAGCGTGCACGGACTTGTCTAATGTGCGAGGAAGTTGTAAATTGCATCGAAAACTACCCCTTTCTTGCTTCACTCTAATTTCTAAACGGGGCCAAATATTTGGTGACAGTTTTCGACAATCGGCAGCCAATTTATTCCTCTCATAATGCCCCAGCGGATTTTTTTTTCGTTAATCACTTAATGACTTATTGGCCTGAAAACGTCGCGCGCGATTTTTCAAAAAGTAAAAAAAAATTAAAATTGTGGCATAGCGCTGAAATTTGGTACGATGGCTTTATTTATTGTTCTCATGATTATACTGCAATTTTATATCATGTGAAGCAATTAAAATTGCAGTATATTCGTAAGAACAATAAATAAGGCCATCGTACCAAATTTCTGCGCTATGCGACAATTTTAATTATTTTTTACTTTTTGAAAAATCCCGCGCGACGTTTTCAGGCCAATAAGTCATTAAGTGATTAACGAAAAAAAAAATCCGCTGGGGCATTATGAGAGGAATAAATGGGCTGCCGATTGTCGAAAACTGTCACCAAATATTTGGCCCCGTTTAGAAATTAGAGTGAATGCAAGAAAGGGGTAGTTTTCGATGCAATTTACAACTTCCTCGCACATTAGACAAGTCCGTGCTCGCTTAATTTTCAAGCAAAAAATTCGAACAAAAAAGCATTGGAGAGTGCATTTCATTAGAAATAATGTGGTGTTTGAAAAATTGAAATCGGATTATGCATTCGGCCGCTGCTGCAACAAATGCGCGCAAAATGGCAAAACGTTTATTCAGTGACCTTGAACAAAAACATGCTACTATTCAAGAAGCTGCAGAAAAAAAACTATAGAAGATAGAGGGGTGCTGTCGCTGAGTTTTTTATAGCAAAAAACTTCAGCTACAACATTCATTTGAAACTTTTTACTATTGAACCATCCCTTTGTGCAGCGTTCTCCATAAACCGCAAATTACCCCTAAAAACCACCCCTAACTGAAAACCCTATGGAAGTACAAGGTCGCAAACTTAATATGTTGTTTAGCATATTAAAATGAACCGATCCCCCCAAAAAAATTTCAACTTCTAATTATGTTGAGGTAACCCCTCTTTTCAGATCTCCGTTTCTTGGACTAGATAGATAGATTTCTTTATTCGATCAATATGTTTACAATTACAATTACAAAATGGTAGAGAACATTTTACCCAGAGGGTGTTGATCATGTCATTATTTACAATACACAATAAAAAAGAAATTGTACTTAAATCTTAAAAAACATTTAGTACAAAAAAAAAATAAACACATACATCTAAGATAAAAAAAAAACATTTAAGTAAAAAAACAAACAAGTACACCTCACGAACAAATAATTAGAGTCTGGTCATTCCGACCACTTCCAGGGTCAGCACAGGGAGTGCTATGTTTATCTAGGCAATTAGTAGAATTTTATGCTTTGCTAGAAAGAAAACAATTTAAAAAAAAAATCTAACTCAAATCTTTCACTTCTTGATCAGTAAAAAAATCGTTCAGACTGTAATAGGCTTTTGAGCTCAGAAATGTTTTAATTTTGCAGTTGATAACTCTTGATGGTAGCATACGGAGTGAGGGAGGCAAAACATTCCAGACTTTGAGAATTTTGTGTTTAAGATTTTTAAGAATGTATGTAAAGTGAGCAGTTTCAGTTCTAAGATTGTCTTTGAATCTAGTACCATGACAATGATTAGATTTTAGTTTGTCAAAGATATCTGGATTTTCTGATATAAATTTGATACTCTCTGTAATGTACAAGTTAAAAATTGTCGGAAAGTTATTATCAACAAAGAGATTTTTACAGCTGTCTGTATTTTTTTTCTGGAATATTGTTCTCAGGCATCTTTTCTGAAGCAGGAGAACTCTCTCTGCCTCCGCCACTCCGCCCCAGAAGATCACCCCATACCTCACTCTCGATTGCACATAGGCATGGCAAGCTGTCAGTGCAGCCGAGCACCCTGCCATGTCCCTGACCACTCGCAGTGCATAGCAGTACCTACTCATACTCTTTGCTAGTTGGTCGATGTGAGCATGCCAGTCTAGTCTTTCATCCAGCACCATCCCCAGAAATGTCACATTATCTTTAGTTGATAGTGTAGTGCCATTGTAGTCTATGTTTGTCTTGTCAGGTCTTAAGTTAAAATTTATAATTTGGGTCTTTTCTACATTCAGTTGAAGGTTATTATCAGTGAACCAATTTTGAAGTATCAAAAGTGATTCTTGGACATTTTGTTTGCAAGCCTCTTTGGTTTTTTCGCAGCAGATGACTGTAGTGGCATCAGCAAAGAGTACGACCTCATTATTTAGGATGTCAGCAACCTCATTGGTGTAAATTAGGTAAAGTAAAGGGCCGAGAATCGAACCCTGGGGAACGCCTTTTTTGATTGTTGAAAAATTTGATTTTATTGTCTCACCCTGCTTGTTTTGTGCAACAACACATTGTTTTCGGTTAGATAAGTATGATACTATTAATTTTAGTGCAGTGTTGCATATGCCAATTTTCTCAAGCTTTCGGCAGAGCAGTCCGTGGTCCACACTGTCGAAAGCTTTAGAAAGGTCTAGGCAAACTGCCATGGTGATGTTGTTTTGGTTGCGAGACTCCAGGATCTGATCTAAAGCCATGTAGATAGCCCTTATCGTCGATTTGCCTTTCCTGAAACCATTTTGTTTTTCAGTGAGTAATGCATTTTCCTCAAGAAATTTTAAAAGTTTAGCATATATTGCTTTTTCAAAAATTTTGCTAAAGTTTGACAGTAGAGAAATAGGCCTATAATTTTTTAGCTCATTTAGGTCTCCTTTTTTGTGAATCGGCTTTAATAAAGCGGTTTTTAGATTAGATGGAAAAATACCTTGTTGCATAGATAGATTAATGATGTACACTAACGGCTCACATAGAAAATCAGCTGCTGCTTTAATTATAGAAATTGGGACTTCATCGTACCCTGTTGATTTTTTGTTTTTAAGATTTTTAATAATTGTAATTACCTCCCGAGTTGATACTGGCTGAAAGACCATGCCGGCCATAGGCATGGGGGTATTGTTCGAGAGCATGAGCTGGCTACTCATTCGCGCCACATCCGGACACACATTTAAGAAAAAATCATTGACATCGTTAAGGAACTGCAACTCACTTTGATAATTAAAATGTTCAAAAATTGTTCTATTGCTGTTTAAATTTTTCCCCGTTACCTTTTTAATAAGACTCCAAGTTGCCTTGGTTTTATTGTCTGAATTTTGAATATAATTTTCATTACTTGCTCTTTTTGCCTGTCGTATAACTTGTTTTAGAATATTAGAGTAATTCTTGTAGTATTGTTTAGAAATATCCCCTTTTTTTACCTTTTCAAATAATAGTCTTTTGTTCTTACTGGATGTTTTTATACC